TGTGTGTGTGTGTGTGTGTGTGTGTGTGTGTGTGTGTGTGTGCGCGTGCGTGTTCAGGAGCACATTAAAACGTTGTGGCAGGCAGCACAGAATTACCGATAATGCCATTAAAGCTGTTGTGTACGCCCCGCTCGTCGGTGCCGCTGTCACACAAGCGTGTCTGCACATTAAGAGGATTACAGCTGTGCGTTTTTACCCTGAGCTGTTAACTCAGCAGTGATCTGTCACTGATACACACTCAGTCAGGTGGAGCGGGGAGCGGTGCGAGGCCGCGGCCACCTGAGCTGAACGTCCTCTCGCACAGCGAGATGTGATACGGGGACAGAGCGTTGGATGAAACCACAAGTGTCCTCCTGTGAGTCTTTGACCCTCATTAAGGCGCACATGCTCTGTTTAGTTTCTTTCTTTTTCTCTCATTGTGTGTACGTTTCAAGGCAGGCTTTGTGTGGAGGGAACCAGGACAAAAAGAAGGTTATACAATCTCTCCTGGGTTTCAGAGAGCTTGTTCACATGAGCCTCTTCTGACCTTCCTCTCCAAGACAATTACAGATACTTTTATTACTCCAGTCCACCCTGGTATCAGTTTATTTCCTAAGCATTGCCTCCTATAATAAATGATTAACATACTAATATGCCAAGAATGAAGGAATGCAGGCCAGACTTTTAGACTAATATTATTTAGGATATGAGGTGACAAACCTTTGGTTCAAACCTTCTAAATGACTTTAAGTGCAATATTGTGATAACTTATGAACTTATGAGTATGTCTCACTAATAAATGTCTCCTCTAACTTCAAATTTTAGAATAGAATAGAATAGAAGAGAGGTTCCCACACTAGTTACTTTAAAAACTATAGACAGTACACAAAAAAACAAAATTAACACTGACTAGCCATGATACGACTACTAATAATAAGAATACAATATAAAGGATTGTGCAAGAATAAAAAAAAGATTTGTTTTGTTTTTGAGGCTGTAGTTACCCATCAGAAATTGCCTATTTTCAGTGCAAAACAATCGCAACAGAGTATTAACTGTAAAGTATCAGTGCAGACAGGAAACACAGATGTGCAATTACAGCAGAATTATTTATAAAGTTTAAAATAAGTAATAACAGAGCAAACGATTGCTCAGGTTAGCAATAATTTAAATGAGCAATAAATAATTTTAATTTAGYTCAACATCTGTAAATTTGACAAAGTTAGAATAATTGTGTTGACCAGATTGTGGTTAAGGTTAGCTGTGGTGGCTATCATATATTGGGTTGACTGGAAAAGTAAATSACTTGTAACTGTTGACCATCTGAGAGTACCATTAAAGGGGTGATATTATGTGCTTTCCAAGCCTATATTTCAAAATTAAGTAACTATGTCACATTTTCAGCTTATGAAAGAGCTATATATTTGTAAAAATCCCCAAAACAATTTACTTCTCATTTTGGCAGTTTCTAAACATTTTGAAAWAGGTCTCTGTCTCTTTAAGAAAATCCAACCACTTCGGTCACGCACATTTCACCAATTAGCCTGTCGGAGTCGCGGCGGTGCGGATGGAGGGGGTGGGGTGCTCCACAATGTGGAAGTTCAGCTTAAAGACACATCCCAGGGGTGTTTATGGTACCAAAAGACGTTTCTGGTCCCCAACTGTTGTTTTGCTCCTCAGCATGGCTTCATAAAAATGCTGAAGGTTTTCTCAGACATGCATGAATGAGTCAGAGCAAGGCTTTGGGCATGTTTTTTTATGAGAGTATAACATTATAAGATTTTATAAAACTCAAAAGTTGATTTTACATGATATTGCTCCTTTAACAATATTTAGCTAACAGACCGACAGACAGGTGCGACTTCAGTGGAAAATTACAAAGTTTAAAAACAGATCAGTTTGAGCTCAGAGTTGGGTTTGACTCTCAGCTACGACCGCACTAAATGTTAGCTCAATGCACACACACACACACACACACACACACACACACACACACACACAC